CGTCAAGTCGAGGGTGATAAAGTTTTGCATGAAAAGCTTTGTGAGTGGCCACTACTGCATTGGAGCTTCTCGCCACCCGTTATGTCCATTGAACCCACAATATCAGATTTGAAAGGTTAGTTTTTGAGAAAAGACAAAGATTCACAAAACGGTGAAAAGTCAAAAATTTGCCAATTTCGAGGGCCATACTTTTGTGTTGAAAAATTTTGGCTCCGCCAATCATGCAAAGAGCATTTTAAAACCATTCTATTCACTAAAATCTTAGATTTTAGGGGTAGTTTTTGAGAAACCGAAAAAAAATTCGAAAATATGGTTCAACTATTCCACCACAGACTTTTTCGAAGGCTGTAGACAGAGGGGTGGTCAAATAAAAAAAGACTCTCGATGGAGGACTATACAGGCACACAGGGGATTAAGCGGTCTTTCAACTGACACCCCTTTTTTTGAAAATCAGTAGAAGTTTGAAAAAACTAAAACTTTTCCAATAAATTTGGAAATAATTTTCCATAATGAAAAAAAAAATCAACAAACCGATTGGTAAACATAAAAGCAACTTGAAAAAGCGGAGGGGAGTGTTAAAATTGTGTATCCCTTGAAACGCCCCGAAACTAGGTATTTAAGCCGATAAAAAAATAGGCCGAAATAAAAAAAACGAAGAAGGAAATACGAAGTCAAGGTAAGTAAATTAAAAACTATAGGAAAAAATCAAACATTAAAAACAACATTTAAGAAAAATTCGTATAGCTTAAAAACGATTCCAAAATGTAAAATTTAAGCCGACAACAGATAAGCAGACAAATAAAATGCCGACAATTTTATTTGAAACAGAACACTTCCCGTTTGAAAAACAATCAGGTCCTGGTCAGATTCAAACCCAGGACCTTTGCCGCCCCAGGCTTTTTCGTTACCTCCAGGCAAAGTTGGCAGGGAACGCAGTGAAGTTTGAATTCATTATGAACCAAGATATAAGTGATTCTGTTAAACAAGTTGTTCACACGAAAAAAGTCTAAATTCCAGTTTGATAACCCTTGCTAATCGCAAGCGTAAATAAACGATACAGTCCTGTTTGTCATTGGACTTCATGAAAAACTTTGTCATTTGAAATTCGTTTATCCTAGACACGAACCAAGATTAGTGGTTGGTTCGTCGAGGGAGAACACACCGCACTGCAGACAGAATGTCTCAGCTAGAGCGAGACGAATGAGGAGTGAGGCTAGCACTTTCTGACCCGCACTACATCTGCCACGCATGTCCAACTCAACTCCTTCCTAAAATCAGACACCAACATCAGTTGAAGTAAATTATTTTGCCGTCATTTTTTCAATATTCAATCAATGCAAAGTAGCTGAAAAGTGGTGTCTGAAACAAATACGCCTCAAATGACATAATTTCTAATTGGCAAAAAATTAAAAATTTCCCAAACGACAAATTCTATGAAACAGTTGCTTCTCGCAACAATTTTAAAAAAATTCCGAAAGATAGGGATTATATTTTTCGAGATGAACGTTTTGTGAACAAGGTGGAAAAAGTTAGTAGTCTTATCAATTGAATCGATTCAAAATTTGATTTTCATACCAATTAAATTTTTTTTTTGAATCGGCAGAGTAAGCATTGTTACAAGGTGAATACAGTACAACTAACGCCTCAAGAGAAGAGAAATACAGACAACTTTACAGCGACAGTAAAGTCAAGGCAAACGGAATTTGGTCAAGGACAGTCAGACGTAGATGCCCGAATAAAAACAACCTTCAAAATATAATCAATTTAAAACGGTATTCTCAAATGTGATATTACATTTGCGGAAAGTCGAATAACTTAAATATTGTATAAACTGAACTTGAAGATTACTCAAAAGCTAATTAAATTATGAACTGGTAGGCCTAGACTCGTTAAATTTCACTTCAGTCACTAACATTTAAAAACAGGCGAAGCGATACAACACAAACATAATAAAAAACGTAAGTCGAAACAAACATACAACACAGACATAATAAAAAATGTTTAGTCGAACATAATAAAACAGAGGCGAAGCGATACAACACAAACATAATAAAAAACGTAAGTCAAAAAAAATGTTAAGAAAAACTAAGTGAACTTAAATTTTCGTAGTCTCGATAATAGACAACTAGAAGCCCAGCAAAAGCTGGAGGTACAAATTTAATATTTTTTGAATTTTTGATACTGATGCTATACAAGTTATACTGATAATTGTCAAACTGATGCTATACTGCTATTATTGTCAAATTGATATTTCTTATACAAAATGCTTCTAAACACCTGTCAAAAATTCCAAAATATGTGGCCGCTTAAGAAGAAAGGATTCCAAAAACCGAATTTATCGATTGAACACAACCTGAGAATTAGAACGATAAATTTCGAGTACGGTTAAAAAGTTTCCAAAAAACGGTGAAAGTTTAAAAACCGAAAATATAATTGCTGTCAAAAAAACTTAGGAAAATTAGCATTTTGTGCGATTCAGAATGAAGCCAGAACTTAAGCTTGCCTTAAATTTGCCCCTATTTAGTTCACTAAGCCGATAAAAAATAAGCCGAAATCATTGAAGTCGAATAAAGTTTTTTCAAAAAGCAAAAAATAAACGAAGCCAAGGCTAGAAAAACTGAAAATTCAAAACACTGAAAGCAAGTACATTGAAAATTGCGTGCATAAAAATCATTTCTTAGATGTGGCAACTAAGCCGACAAAACACACGCAAACAAACTAAAGGCCGACATTTTTTTTAAAAAAGAAATATTTCCAGTAGAAAAAAAAAACTGTTCCTGGTCAGATTCAAAACCACGGCCTTTGCCACTTCAGGCGTACTTTTCTCATCCAGGCTAAGTGCCGGACACGCATAGAAATTTGTATTTATTATGAACCAAGATTGAAGGGATTCAAGTGACTTCAGTTCAACAAGTTGCAAGCCCGAAAAAAGTATATAATCCGATTTGATAACGCTTGCGCAGACATAACCTAAGCCAAAAAAAACAATCGAATTCAAATTCAGTTCTTAAATTAACATGATACCATAATAGTTTCTTACAGCACAAGAAAAAAAACCGTGATCTGGCAACTAAGCCGACAAACCTTGAGCAGATAAACAAAGTCAGACAAATCAATTTTACCGAAAAAAAAAACAAATTCAATAAATACTGAAAAAAAGATCGAAACCCGGAGGTTAGGATGCAAAGACGACGACGCTACCCCAAGGCCAAGTGCGAAGTAACCTAGAAAAATTTTAAGATTCGACAATAAAGCAATTTGAAAAATTGGTATAAAAGTAGTTTCTGGGAAAAAAGTTAGTTCCCAATCAAAAGACACTTGCTTTTGCAAGTACAATTACAAGAAACTTGCTTTTGCAAGTGCAACTAAATTTTCAATTATACATTTAGATTTTCGTTTTGTGATTTCCAAATTGTTCACTTTAAAAATCCCTTTCAGTCTTACGGTGAGGCGTCAAAGTCAACCTTTTCACACAGGTGCGAAGCTCAGCTTCGCACCACTTGCAATACAAAAACGAATGACTGTCATAAAAACCTATAAAAATCGCAAAAGCCCAAAGGTCGGGAACAAAATTATCTGTACCATTAGAAACTTAAGAGGGAGCTTTCGAAATGCTAGAAAGAATCCGAACTTTCAAAAAGATTTTTATGCTGGAACTAAGCCGGAAACAATACGCAGACAGACAAACATCTAAATTAGCCGAAAACTTTCAGTTTGCAAAAAATACAAGTCCAGGCCACAAGCCTATGCATCTCAAACAAAGGTGTTTCCTTTATGCCAGATGCTTGATTGAATTTGAGTTTATACACAGAGGCCAAGTTGTACTTCGCTACTGGGAAAAACTGAATTTAACTTTGAGTCTATATAAATTCTCAAGTGACGCACACCAATTATCAGTATACATGATTGCTATGTGACGCGAGCCAATTATGAAGCATTAGCAGTTCCAGTCAATTTGAGAAAAGAAATTTACCAACTAACATGCCTCAATTTATAGAGCGGACGCATTTTAAATAGTATACAAAAAACTTCCTTAAAACCATCCAGGTTCAAACCCTCTTATTTTGTTGCGGGTCTCCTTCTTTACGTCTACGCTACATATCCATGATACCTTCAAGCTAAAGTGCTATTTGTAATGTAATAGTCTGTGTTAATATCCTTGGCATTGGCTGTACTTAATAGCTCGTTATTGATCTTATGCACAATACTGCAATAAATTAACACTTTCAAAATGAACATTTATATTTGCGGTTGGAAAAGAGAATTCATATTACCACACAAGCTTTACTTGAGTAAAAAACGAGATAACTTGAACAAAGTTATTTACGGAAAAAAGTATAGAAAACGATTTCAGCACCCTTGCTTATCGCAAGGGTGAATAAGCGCTGAAGAGCTTGCTCGATTCGGGAATTATATCCCAAAAGCTCCGTAACACCATCGAACAAAAGTTGTGGGCACTTTTGTTCTCTTTAATTCAATCGACGACCATATTTTGTGGTTCAATAGACACGGAACATTCAGAATGGGTCGTAGAAAATTCGGCAAGCCTTTTTTCAGTTGGAAAATAATGGAATTTAGACGATAACTCTTAGCGAATTTAGATGATAAGAACTGGACCAGCAATCGAACAAACTATTAAAATATTTATATATACAAACATATATACATACATACATACATACATACATACATACATACATACATACATACATACATACATACATACATACATACATACATACATACATACATACATACATACATACATACATACATACATACATACATACATACATACATACATACATACATACATACATACATACATACATACATACATACATAGATACATACATACATACATACATACATACATACAAACAATTATACGAACATACATACATACATACAAACATATATATAAATAAAATTTGCAGAAAAATCCGAAATCTTGGAACTGAAATAACTGCATCTTTAGAAATAATACAAAGAGGGTCCCACAGTATTTTCAATTTAACATTCCCTGACATTCGCCGAACAAATTCTCTGACTTTTGCACAACGATGTGCCTCTAAATTCAAAAAACATTTCCATGGAAAACAATCAATTCGCTTCACAGATTTATTATTTTCTGCTTTTTATGGTCAATTTCCAAATTCAGCACTTCTCTGTCCTGTTTCACTAGTTGGTCGATTGTTTGGCGTTTCTTTTTCTTCTTTCTGTGTATGATTCTTTTGGTCAGTTTCCTAGGCTTTTTCGTAGCGTTGCCGACAACCTTTTATTGCATCCATCATACGTTTGTCCACCAAACCACGGGACAACCGCTTACCAGAATGAAGGATCCAATCGTGTACAAATCTCTGATCTATGACTGTGCGCTCCTTCATGCTATTGAGAAAGATGCTCTCATTTATCGAAAAACCTTCTTCGACGCGCCCATTACCATGAAACAATATCAAGATTAATTTTAGAGGTTTATGAATGTCAGAGCCATTTTTGACATGTTGCTTAAAGAACCCATCAAACCTGTCTGATATCGAGAAATCTTTAGCAGCTTTTACGAACTCTTTGTCAAGAATTTTTTCTATGACTTACCAGCAACATCCAAAGAGATGTGTCCGTCCTCGAAGAGCATCTGAAACAGTCTTTCAGCTCTAGACACAGCAACACAATACAGTAAATACAATGCACGTCCAGTCGCCCTTTATTAATAACTGAATTGAATGCCTCATCAAAGCATAGAGCAAGCTTTGAAAACTTAACAGCCCCATAAACTTGAGAAGCAAAGTAAGGAAACAAAATAACAAAACTGGTCTGTGGTGCTTCGGATACCTCCTGCAAGACAATATTTCCAACCTCTGCCTCCTTTTCGGCAGGCTGATGAGGAATCTCAGTCGAAGGTTCGCCTTCCGGTACAGCCGGGGTGAATAATGGTCCCACTGTACGTCGTAGCCTCAGTGCGTCTTGGTGCTTTTCGCCCTCTGCGTGACTTTTCAAAGCTCGTTTGCCAATATTGCTCAACTGAAATGGTTTTCCGCGACAGATGCTACAATTTGCCGAGAACGGATCATTTGGAACGCGCTTGATGTATTCTGCAAAATCTGGAAAGTTGCTAGGATTTTCCCATTGGAGACAGTAATGCATTTTCCTGCTTGAAATTAATCTCAATCTGAAAATAAGTACCAACAAGATTATATGCAACTAAAGGTCATTAGCAGGCCTTGAATCGAATTCCCTGACTTTCCCGGTTTTCCTTGACAGTTTTTTTAATTCCCTGACATTTCCCGGTTTTCCCTGACGCGTGGGACCCCAGAGAGCAAAGCATCGCGCTACATGCGACAAAACATATACATAGCCAGACAAACTGTCCGACGAAAAAAGCGATGAAAGCCGAAGAAATTAAAATTGCAAAAATTGATCTACCAAAAATTTTTTAAATTTGTATTTGTCTTGAATAAAAACTTCAACATGAATAAAATAATAAATATCATCAAAATATCCCGAAGTAAGAAAACTGAATGTTAAATAAGCATCCAAACAAAATTTATCAAGCGGTAACACGTTGCTCCGAAAAAAAAAGGTTTTTATTGGAAAAACTTAAAAACTCAAAACAATTGGGGAGGGGAAAAGGGTGACTCAGAACAATAAGATAAAAATTATTTGCCCTTCAAACTTTTCAAAAGAGGCCTTTAAATCGATAGATTATAAGCCGACACCTTATCGGCAAATAAAGACTAAAAAGAAAACAAAACCAACAAAAAAATCGAATAAAACGGGCAATTAAAACGCAGACAGTCTCAAAAATTGACTGGTTTCTTACCCATCTTTCTGTTCGTTGACGAAAGTAGAGATGACCAAAACTTCAGTCAGACCGCAAACAGAGATATTTATGGAAAAAAGTCTAGTGCCAGATTGAAATACCCTTGCTTATAGCAAGGGTAATAATTATAACTGAAGAAAATTAATAATTATAGAAGGACGCCATTGACAATTCTACCTTCCTTTTGCTTCTCAAAATTATTATTTGCGGATAGCAATTAACTAGAAGCTGAATTTTTTATTCGCCGTTTTCCATTATAATTCATTTGCTCAAAAATGCAATTCACGCGGCACCTCAAAATTTAGCATGAAACCCAAAAAATCTGACCTCTGACCGACTAGTTCATGTCACAAATGAAATTATACTGGAAGGGATAAGCTGTTGCAAGTCACAGTTGCAACGTGCCGTGAATCCTGGCATAACTAAAGAAACGCGTAGTTCATGACCAATTGAGACACTCCCAGAAGCGAATAAACTCGAACGAATTGATTGTATATGTAAGACCGATATAGAAGAACTCACAGATATACTGAATGCGTTCGATGTAAGAGCAGAGCCTAGATACAGCTAATAAGCGCATGGAAACAGTAAAAAAAATTACTTGCTGAAATTCAACGAAGTAGTAACATATAGATAGCCCTAAGGCTCCTTGAATTTCAAGAACAATTCATGATTGGCTTTTTTGATAAAATTAACCCAAATTTGAGAAAACTGGACGATCAATTAAAGTTTTACTCCGCTGTGAAATCTGAAAAATAGTAACATATAGATAGCCCTAAGGCTCCTTGAATTTCAAGAACAATTCATGATTGGCTTTTTTGATAAAATTAACCCAAATTTGAGAAAACTGGACGATCAATTAAAGTTTTACTCCGCTGTGAAATCTGAAAAATGGTAACATATAGATAGCCCTAAGGCTCCTTGAATTTCAAGAACAATTCATGATTGGCTTTTTTGATAAAATTAACCCAAATTTGAGAAAACTGGACGATCAATTAAAGTTTTACTCCGCTGTGAAATCTGAAAATTAAAATCCACTTTCGAAACAAGAAGTCGACCTTTACTCTTTTGCTATTCGATACTGAAGGTTGCCTGCCTTCCTTTCAACAAAAAAAAACGAAATGAACTTAAAAAGAAATCAAAAATCACAGTGCGAAAAATCTATTTAGAGCATGAACAAATTTTAAGACTTCCTGAAAATAAGAACGAAAGAAATCTCGGCGACCTATACAAGAATCTGAACTATGTTCATCGACTATTAATAAAATTGACCCAGTATAGGTCAACTGGATCAATAAATGAATTTTCTATCCCGCAGGGAAATAAAATAATCTAAATTCACATTCAAAACTAGAAGTCGTTCACGTTTTTTGCGACATTTGCAATATCGTAATTGAAGAGTGGAACTTTCCTTCCTTTCAGCAAATGAATTTGGATTGAACTTAAAAAAAATCAAAAAGCACACCGCAAAATATCAAATTTGGTGTGAACAAATTTTATACCTTCTCCTGAAAAAAAAAGAACAAAAAAATTTATCTCGACCTAATTAACTTCACTGCGAGCATTTACCCTAGAGCTTTCATTATCATTTAGCAAGTCGGCCATAAGCGGCAAAAAGAAAACCATCCTTCACCATAAAGGATATACCGACACATGGTATAGTTGTTTATTTAGATGACGGACCTTGAGCATGACGACTCTGTAGTTGTATGTCTTGCGTGTGTGTGAGCTGTTTTCGCCTTCCTCCGTCCGTATCTCTATGCAGTCTATGTCTCTTCCGGTGTACACCTCTCTCCACAATTCACTCAATACCTGGTTGATCTCCCCCATCTTCACACTGTGGAACCGCATCAGGGCACTGTCCAACGCCTTTCCAAACTTGTCTACATGCAAACAAAAAAATTAGAGGAAATCATGTCAAGAAACAAGTCACCAAAAAATGATGCTTTGGAAAAAAAAGACGACAAAAAGAAGACAAATTATAGTCCCAAATATTTTTCCAATTTCCCTACATCGAAGAAAAACAAGGTCCGGCCAAGACTCGAACCCTAGATTTAATGTTCCGAAGGCGCGCGCATTTTATCAGGACCAAGTGAGAAAGGGCTTGAAAATTGAGGTTCCATAAAAACAAGGTCACCTTCTTGCAAATTTGTTCACGAGTAAATGCTCACGGGAAAAATTCTGCTTTTAATTTACGAGAAAACTGGCCCTGTCAAGTGAACTGAACAAAGGTACCCCAAAACTGTTTCGACCCCAAAACTGTTTCGAAAAAAAAGATAAACACGATAACTTAATCATTAAATCATTCTCTTGAAGAAAACTTAATTTGAGAAAACTTGATCAATATGCAATTTTTTTTCTGATGCAAAACCTAAAAACAAACACAGAGGCGAAGCTTCACTTCAAAAACAAGCTATATATCTGTCCTAGTGTAATTATAGCTAAGCAAACGTTAAATATGTCATCATATTTATTTTATGGGTCATATCTTTATCTCTCACCTCTCATTTTAAATTTTTCATATTTGTCTGAAAATACGAAAAACTTTTTTCAACACTGAGAAAACTGTTGCTTTGTTGGAATTCAAATCACGAATGTAAGGGCTTTAATCTGAAACCGCACTTCAGCTCCGCACGTTTTTCTAAGTCACAGTCAGGCGAAAAAAAAACACACATGCCAAAGTTTCTTCCTTTCTCTTCGTTGAGTGGCCGGAAAAATGAGAAATGTTCATGACAGTTTTCAAAAAAAAAAATCCACGCCATTCCATCAACTTATCTTAGCAAAAAACAGAGAGGTTTTTGTATTATACACGTGATCTACTGGTTCGACCACTAAAATGGCGGAAGAACTTCGGAATCGAGAAACACTTTTTCTTTCACTGCTTCGCTGATACTAGGCAACCGGTCACTTATTGCAGCTTTCGCTAGAATCGGGTTGAAAAAATCAATTCTTAATCACGAGATCATCTACTTCCTCGATAATTTGAACTCTCTACTATGTTTGAACTTTACCGAACTCCTGCTAAAACATAGCCAAAGATGGTTGTTTAAGTGTCGATGAAGAAAAGAAACCGATCAAAAAACTTAGTTTTTGAAATCTTTGAATTTCATTCAAGACTCTTTTGTTTTTGTCACTCTTTTGATAAAGTGAACTCAATTTGGGAAAAAGGTTCAATAAGCATTTTTGTAGTCCGTTGCAAAATGTTGTGAAAAAATTCCGCCACGTGCAATCTTGTTATCGAAAAACAAACCTTATTTAACATATTTAACCTAATCTCTCATTTTGCTCCGGTATGTTTCCTCAAAGCCTCAAGTATGCTCGGGTTTTACCACTTCATAAAGCTGATAGCAGAATAATTATGAGCAATTACCGTCCAATATCACAATACAACAACAAGTAGCTGCAGCAAAGTTATTGAAAAAATCATGCACTCTCGATTGTACAACTATCTTGAAAAGTTCGAATTACTGTATCATCGTCAGTTTGGGTTCAGGGAGAAGTTTGCCACAGTTGATGCATTAGCTGAATTGACTGAAAGATTAAGACTAGGTGTTGATAAAAACATTAAATGTAGCTTCTTCATTGTTTTAAAAATGGCATTTGATACGCTGGACCATAAAAATCTTTTGAGGAAATTAGAATGCTATGGAGTACGTGGAAATTGCTACAAATGGTTCGAAAGCTATCTATCCAATAGGTATCAATGTGTACATGTAAACAACTGTTCTTCTGATTGTTTGCAAGTGAACACGGGAATACCGCAAGGCTCTGTTTTAGGCCCTCTCTTGTTTCTTGTTTATATTAACGACATACAGCACGCAGTTTGCAATTGAAATGTGTTTCTATTTGCAGATGATACAATTATATCATGTCAAACATCTATCTATGAAGAATACCAGTTAGATTTGACCAAAATTTCTTCCTGGCTTTGCTCAAATAAATTAACCTTAAACTCAGATAAAACTACTTTAATTAATTTTACTAAGGATAGAAGTGCTTCCAATCTTTCTTTTGATATACTTCATTTTACTTTTGAGCCGAAACCCTTTTTGCAAATACCTAGGTGTCATTGTAGATGATAAGCTTAAATTTTTTTCACCATATACAGAATGTTCAATCAAAACTAGGTCGTCACTATGGTGTAATATCAAAAATGAGACATTATGTGCTAAGATCCATCCTACTGAAATACTATATGTCGAATATCAAGCCAATAATACAATATGGCTTGCTCGTCTACGGCGGCACGAGTTTTTCTTTTTTAAACCCAATTTTGAATATGCAACGAAAAATAGTTCGCATGATCTGCTTCAAAAAGAAATTTTCTGATAATAAAATAGTGACAGTTCATGAGCTATATGTGTACGATTTGATGCAGTTTTGCTTACGATCACTAAATCAAAAACATCCAACTTGTTTTCTCAATTCTCAGTTGGTGCAAAACATATTTCTTTGAATTTTTTTATTTTCAAAAAATGGTACCCGCTGGCTAAATGCTATCAAACAACCATTCTAGGGTTGCGATTCTATGCTGAAAATATGACCCTCCAAATCCTTGTAGTTTTCGAGAAATCGCATTTTTTAGAAAATTTTAAAATGAAAAAAACTTAAAATTTTTTTTTATGTTTTCTCATATTCTTAGTTCGTCAGCTGGAATCTGAATTGGCCGAAATGACAGTACTAGATGTAATAAATATTCCTTAATGAATTTTTCCCCACAATCCTATTTTTATTCGAATATAAATTTATCTTTATTACTTAGTTGCAATCCTAATTTGTTCAACGGGTAGACGTCAAGTAGGCACATACTGCGCCTTTTGTCTATCCCCTCCATTTTGTTGATTTAATAATTTAAATAAATTGATGCTTGTATTATCAACTATATGGAGAAATAAATTCTTCTTCTTCTTCTTCTTCAAAATTTGCCGTCTTTCTTTCAAATGAGTCAGCTAAATAAATATCAAGTCACACCGCGAAAACTTAAAGTTGAGCTGGATAAAATTGAACAAAAGAAACAAAACAACCAAAATAAGTGCATTCACTTCATTCATTGAAACTAATTCTGCCTCTGCGACAAAGAAAATTAGAACAAAGCTTCCCAATAGAGAATGAACTTTCATCACAGGGTGACAGTGATAAAGGGGCGAGAGGATAAGCATTTAAGCTCAATTAACTGACCCAGATCAGCACATGCCAGTTTGTTAGACTTCCACTCTGCCACTTTGCGGATCCACTGATGGCTGGCCTCACTGTATATCTTGTCGTTGAGCTGTTTGTCCAGAGTGGCCAAGGTGCTCTTCAGTTCCCTCAGTTGCCCGTCTGTCTGGTGGAACTCGCGAGTCACTCGCTCACCCTCCTACAACATTCATCGCTCATAATGATCTAGCTTTTACAGGGGCCAGAGTTGTGACACAGGGGCGAACTTGAGCTTCGCACACTTGCGATACAAAACAAGAAAAAAACTAGATCTATTGAAATGAATAAGGATAGTTTTGAAACAAACCATGCCAAGACAATAGAATGTGTAACAAGCATCGGAAGATAATGTACCCATCGGTAACAAAGCCGAAAATACCTTGTCAGAAACCCTTCAAGCCGAAAACAAATCAACAAGACTTCAGACGTCTTAAAAGTTTATCAGTCCACCTCACCCTCGAAACACTTTATTTTCTCGTCAAATGAAACAATGAGGCCACTTAGCCGATGAAAAATCAGCCGAAAACCATAAGCCCAACGAAGGGGAAAAAGCCGAAAAAAATAGAAAAAATTAAGAAAATAATAAGTTATTAGGTCCCCCTCAGCCTCAAAAGGGAAAAAGCCGAAAAAAAAAAAAAAAAATTAAGAAAATAATAAGTTATTAGGTCCCCCTCAGCCTCAAAACAGACACGCACACACAAAACTTTTTTCGCTCGTTGAAAGACACAATATGAGGCGAATAATCCGTTATATTATACCTATCATGCCGAAAAAAACAGAGGTGAGCATAAAAAACATGTTTCCGTTGAAATGACTCAAAATTAGGTCACTAAGTCGATAAAAAATAAGCCGAAATCATTTGCGCAGAAAAAAAATTTTCAACGAAAAATGAAGATAAGTTAAGTAAAATTATAAACAGCAGAGGTAAATCAGAACACTAAAAACAACTCTAATTTATTTAAAAAAAATTAAAAATTCTACAATATGGCAACTACCCCGACAAAACATAAGCAGACAATAATAATCTGACAGGTCAGGGTAGTTTTAACCCAGGACCTTTGGCGTCCCAGACGTATTCGTTACCTCCAGACTAAGTGTGTCGGAGACGCTTAAAAATTTGAATTCAAAGTGCGAGCCACGATACCAATTGATTCAAGGGATTCCAATAAACAAATTGTTAACCCAAATAAAGTCTATATTCCGACTTGATAACGCTTGCTAATCGCAAGCTTAAACAGCTTTGAACTCTCTCAACTCTCAATGAATCACGGAAACGCAAGAAATGAGTTGATTTGTGAAAAATACTTGCCTCAAAGACAGCTCCCAGGTGGTCAAGTATCAAAAAACGCAGACAAATTGAAATTAAAAACACATTTTTTTGCACTAATTACTGTAGTCGTAACATTCTTTGCACCTTGTACAACATCTGCGTACCTTGTTCCATCTGGCAAATAACGAAGTTTAAAAAAATCTTAAACCTTCAAACATTGTTTAGTAGAGCACATCACATCTGATTAGCTCATAAAGTTCTCAAATATGTTATCAAAATATATTTTCTTATTGATAATCCAAAAAACCTCCTTGAGAAATTTTAATTTTTTTACGCAGGCAAAGCTGAATTTCACAAACAAGCAAAAAATAGCAAATTAGAACTTAAAAAAAAATGCCAGAAAAAAACACCTTGAAAAAAGTTTTCCTTGAAAAGAATCGAGTCCCCGCCTTCGGAGTAGGAGACTAATATTCTGCCAACTGCACCAAACTGCCTAGCTTTCTTTGAAAACTAGCCACAAAAAAAACAGGCAGCCTACTATCAAAATGCCAATGCAAAACTGCTATGCAGCTAGTGCCCTCAACTTCTTGAGCACTAATTGATGCGAGTGTGGACAGCAGAATGCGTTTCCTTGCGTAATTTCAGCATTATGACTTAAATGAATGTCTAATTACATGAAATTTTGTAATTATCAGCAAAAAAAATTACAGACTCAAGTAGAATTGGAGCTGACCAAAAGAAAGCCGTTCAATTTTTGTCGTTAAAAAAGCTTTCTGAGAACACTTTTTTGAACTGGACAAACTAGAAATGAAATCAGAAGTTTTAGGGATAATTTCTCATTATAATGCATTTCTAGCAAAAGCCCACAGAATTGACGTGATTTACAGAGGTAGGTGCTGACACGAGCACAGAGACGCTATCACTGCAAAAGGTGGTTCACCTTCTACGTCGGTTTTGCCGCTAGAAACCCTGGAGCAGCTACAGTGATAGATTGAACAAAACGAAACCAACATGACCAGACAAGAACGAAATTTGCCTAACTCTCTTTCTATCTCTCGAAAAAAAACAATCTCTCTAATTCAATCAGAAGCTCGAAGCAGAGATCGATGTAGCTACAACAACAACAACTACGAGACTTCGCATTTTGGCGAATAGAAATTAAATACCTTGAACGATGACACGATAAAAACTTATAAATTTGATCCACAAAAAAGCGTTCACCAAAAAAATCTGAACAAAAAATGTCAATGGCACAAACAACTCAATGTTAGGCGTGAATATATACTGAGCTTACTTTTGATATGAAAAAAAAACAAATCACAAAAATCGTCATGTCTCGAAAAATTCAGCAGAACTGCGGGTCCAGAAACGCCACCTTCCAGCTGTGGACCTAACGACTATACGAACACTGCAAATGGCTCTTTTCACACCCTCACCAACAGGAGAGAACCAAAAGCATGCTCGGACTGGGTTTTTGGTTACAGAGCATCCCAATTTGGCCGGGTTGCTCCGTCTATTATTTCTAACACTTTTCGTTGGCGCCAGAATAAACCCAAAATCCGGCCCTTACAACTTATCTCCTTGTAATCTCAAAATCTTCCGTTCCCAAGCAAGCGCGTGGTGCCAAGTTTGTGGATTGATTCATTTTAAATGCAGTGGTCTTACTGCAATGAAACAACACCACAAGAGATTTTTACTGTCCCAGCTGCACAGCAGATTATTCTCTGCCCCTCCCAGAAATTAATCCTACAACTATCCCTCGACCAATCTCTATCCCCTTGAACTACACTTCCACCAGCAACTAACCCCCCTTGACTTCACACTGACACACTTCAACTACCTGCTGCAACCCCCCTCCCCCCCCCCCCCCCCCCACAGTAAAAAGGTAAACCCACTCTCACTTTCAACTAAGTCCTTAAATAATCTACAGTTGAACAGTAATGACATATCTGGGCAGGCACCTGGAGTAGCAGTTTTGCAGTGCGAGTACCACATCTACAATGCGTTGTTTCAAGAAATCAAATTGATTTCGAAAAACAGCACTCCCTCTATAGGGCCTAACTACACATTATTCAGAAAAAACCGAAAGCGAGAGGGAGGTGCCTGTCTTACTGCAATTCATAATTCTCTTCTATTCTATGAACATGAAACACTGGAAGACGGAATTCTGGAGACGCAAAGCGTTAACATACAAGCCAAAAATCAGAATCTCCGTATCACAATTTTTTTATCCCTGCTCAAACTAGCTGTCCTAAGGAATATAAAGCATCAATCTGAACTCTCCTCTCAGAAGACAATAGCATTTTATTAGGCCATGCAAGCGAGCACTCCTCACTTTGGTCCACTGATACACCAGAGGACCGACGCGGGTCAAACCTGAGAGCCGAAACCATTTATCCTGGGCTCAGACCACCTTCCAATTTTGATTAATTTTGTTATTACCGAGAATATCACTTTTGTGCCTCAAACATTTATAAAATTCAAAAAAATAACGGAGTGGAAGTTTAAAAATAAAATCAAAGATACTCCTGCACTGAAACTAGTTTAAAAATAAAATCAAAGATACTCCTGCACTGAAACCTAATCAACTAGATATTAAGGCCACTGAGCGGTTTTTTCGTGATAGGGTCCTCTCTGTATCCCGTCACCAAATTCCTGCAGGCTGTCATCGATTCCTTGTCCATGCTCTAAATGACTATACAAAGAAACTAGCCTAACAAAGAGACAGCATCAGAATAAATCCGTGTGATCTACCGTTAAACAATCTAAACAGAGGCATCATGGCCAAAACGGCCAAAGAAAACGAGAGAAATTTGGAAAGTGATAAGATATTTCAATGTCTCTAAGTCTGTAGTAGTAACATATTCTATCAGTTCTAATGCCATACAGATTTTAAAGATAAAACTCATTGCAAATGCTTTTCATGTACAAAACACCCAGCTAAGAAAACATAAAAGCAACAAAGCTCAAAGAGTGACAAAGAGAAAAGCTCTTAAACCTAGCTTAGCTGACTCGAAAAGGATAAGTGTATTAAACTGATGAGACCGTCAAAAACCTCAGAACCAGGTCTCTGCACGGTTCATTTCAAACATCTTGGCCCGCTAGCTGTTACCTTTTAACAAACATTTTCAATCTCTCTGTCTCTTTACATCCTCCCCCAAATATGGAAGAATTTAAAAAAGTCCCACCCAAAACCCAAAATTGTCAAAATCCTACCGCCCGTTTTCAGTCTTCAGCCCAGCTGTTAGAATTTTAGAATCGCTAATCCACCCAACCCTAACTAAACACCTGCCAAACGCCGGCCATCACCATGACTTTCGCGTTCATGATGCGCCATTATGTCCCCATGAAATTAAACTACAATCACACGCAGACTATTTCCACCCCTTTCTGCAGTGAAACATCTTTCATGAAGCCTCATCTACCTCAGTTTTTTTACGTCTGAGTCTCCCGCCAGCTTTTTTTTTCGTTCAACATCGCACCTAAATAAAAATGGAAAGAACCCCCGTACCCTTGAAGAAACACCCAAAACAATTGGTATTCTTTCACCCATATCTTAATTTCGCAGGTCACTGTAAGCAAATATCTGCAAAAGCATCGCGTAGGAGAGCGATCCTGAAGGCCTTATCTGGGACAAATTGGGATCAGTCAAAAGAGACATTTCTGGTTACCTACAAGTTTTTGGTCAAACCAACTTAAGATAACGCATGCCCAGCACGGTCCCATGCCGCCAGTTTCACGTCTTTAAACAAGTTTCAAGTAGTTCAAAAAGCCGCTTTCCATACTATAACGGGTTTAACAAAAATGAGTGCTCTAAAACATTTTCACTCAGAATGTGAAATTTTGAATGTTGCCCATCATCATAAACTACTTTCCGCTATCCTCATCCGAGAAAATTTCAGACCGTGGGAAAAGAGTCAAAGAACGCAAAACAAAAAACACTGACTTGTTTTTTGCCTAAATGTCAACTTTCCAATTTCAAAGAAAACATAGCCAACAGGCAGTTGGAAAATTCAATGAACAGAGTAAAACAGAAAAAATACTAGCATGAGTTTTTCGCTGGGAAACCTAAAAATAAAAAAATACTTTTCCAAACGAAGTGGATCACATTTATCGTGACTCGACACTTTTGCTGTTCGACAGTGGAGTTTTCCTTGCCTTGAACAAAGGAAACGAACTGAACTATAAAAGGAATTAAAAGTCAACCCGCGAAAACAACTAACTTTGAGCAACAAAATAAATCATGGCGAATTATATAAGAGTCTTCACTGCGTTCGTCGACTCTAAACAAACTATTCCAGACAAATGACGCGGAAAAATTTGATTCGATTTTTTTTTTCACGCAAAAATAGGTACGACAAATATGTGGCAGATGTGGTCAACTTATATATCATATTGAAGCCGACCTACTACAACAAAAAATGAAAAAAAACCCTGTCGAGAGAAAGCGGTCACAATGTTTTGCTATCATACCAAATTGGACACAGAGGCGGCAAAGCAGCTATATAATAAGCAAAAACAAGTAAAAAAAAAGTAAAAAAGTAAAAAGTAAGCTTCGAATTAGTTATAACTCGTCTACGTCTAGGATTCGATCTGCAAACTAGAAAATAAGAGTCTCAGGCACTAACAACTCAGCCACGGCTGCTTAACAAATCGCAGACATTATCCACAAATGAAGCAGAGAACAGATGCTATGAAATTTCCAATGCTACAGATCGTGATTATAGCAAAAACGCCACCAAATAAGTGAACACTTTTAATGAACAATTTCATTTGCAAACTAGATTAGCAAAAAAGAAGGTTCATACTAATACAAAAATAATATTCTTCCTTCTTCCTAAAAGTAAGCATAGCCAACAGCAAGTAAACAGATAAATTTTTGACTTATTTTCCGAAAAAATCTCTCAAGTCTTCGAATTTCCAAGAAAGCATAGATGCTCTAACAGCTCTTTGAACTTCTAGAACAATTCATTTTTGAGATTTTTTTTTTGATAAAATTAACCCAACTTGATAAAACTGAATAAATAGCTACTTTTTTTATTTCGCTGGGAAATCTAATAACTAAATTCCTTTTTCAAAATTAGAAGTCAATCACGTTTTTTGTAAACTTTAAACTTCCACCGTTCGATAGTGGAGTTTGTCCTCCTTTTAAACAGAGAAATGAACTGAACTCAACAAGAATTCAGCGAAACATGAAATCTGAGCGTGAACAAATCTGATAATTAAAGTTCGTTTTCGTATGAATGATTCGGACCTGCAGCAGCTGTTCGTATTCTCGTTGCAAGGATCCTCCCGTTTTTCCAGTTCGCCCCATCGACTTATCCACATCTGTGAGCTCCTGGTGCAGTTTAGACCTAGAGAATAAGGCATTTTTTAACAGATTTGAACTTCACAATAATTCAATAGCTTCAAGTCTTTAATCAATAGATGCCTTCATTGAGTCAGAACTATCTGTCTGTTGCACAGATTTGAAAAACATATTTTGGATTTTCAATGCCTGATTAAACTCATCCGCTTCAAGCAAATCAACTTTCATTGATTTCTTTACGACGAACCATATTTAAAAGCCTCGTTGTAACGAATCACTTTCTAGCTAAAAAAACCCTATTATCTATTCGTTAAAACTGAGTTTAACCCTATTTAAAAACCCTATTATCTATTCGTTTGAGTTAAAACTGAGAAAAAAATCAAAATTAAAGTCAAAATTACTGGGCACTGTCTTGGATGAAACAACATACTTTTCCTGCATGGCAAGTCTGAGGTTCAAATTGTCATCATATGCTCTCCTTTGCATAGCTTCGTTCGCAACCTCACTCTTCAATCGATCCACCTTACTTTGACCTTCACTCAGCCTGACCTTTGATTTCTTCAGTTGAATTTCATTCTCCCCAACTTGGCTTTCTGTATCATCAAAAGTAGCCTTCTTCTGGTCAAAGTCAAACGAGTTGATTTTGCTTGCAATTTCAGATATCTGTTTCAGTTTGGCGGCGCAGTTTGAATCTTCATCCGTAAGTTTATTCAGAACTCTCTCTTTTTCTCTTACAAGATTCGCCTGAAAACTAAGTCTAAATAGTCAGGCATAAAGACCCGTTGTAAAATATAAACGAAAAACCTAGGCTTCAAATTTGATTTTATTATATGCAAAAATTTCTTACCTTTTCTACTTTAGCCGATTCCAATTTCTCCCTAAGCGGACTAACTTTAGCCCTATTGGCCCGAACACTTTCTGCCAATTGGACACATTTCTGTTCAAGCTCCTTCACTTTCTCCGAAATCTGATCCGCTCTTTGATTTGTCGAACTCAATTCGACCAAATCTTGTTCCAGTCGCAAAGTTTCTTCGTGCAACTTTGCTTTCGCCTTCGTGAACGAATCGATTTTTGACACTACTTCTTCCAAATCCTCTTTCACTGTTTTAAGAAATTTTTCTATCTTATTTTTCTCAGCTTCTATTTCTTTCGTACCTTTTAAACTCCCAGTATAATTTAGTTTTATTTCTTCACTTTTCAAAGATTCCTTTAAATCAACTAAATCCCTTTGGTTTCGATCCCATTCTGAAGCGTCTGCAATTGAGTCTTGCAACATCGTGACGTCACTTTGAACAAAATCCTTTTTCTGTTGTTCATCTTCAACTTCTCGTGCCAACGAGGCAATTTCGAGCGAATCAATTTCTATTTGTTTTCTTAACTCAGGGATTTCTTGAGTAATATCTTCATACTTTGCGTACAAATGTTTGCTGTCGTATAACTTCTTCAGTTGAGTTTCCTTCGTTTTCAGTTTTTGTTCCTCGGTTTTCAGCGAACTAGGTACTCGGTTTTTCAATTCCTGCAGCCGATCGGCCGATTCTCTTGCCGACGCCCCTGACCCTGCTTCAAAGCCTCGAAAACATACAGGGCACTTCGGAGACTTTTCCTTCAATTTGGCACAGTAATGTGAGTATACAGCTGAACTTCCTTTTAAGTAGCCAATTTTGTCCTGGATTTCTTTCATTTCTTGATTAACCTTTTCCATCTGCTTTTCAAAATCTTCGCCAACTTCAATTTCGCCCTCAATCTTCATCTTTTCACTGTTTATCTTGTTCAACTTCTCAGATGTTGCAGTTTTCTGAAACTTCAGTGACTGTAGTTTTAGGTGCTTTTCGTTGAAGACCTTCGAAGCATTAGCTAATTCTGCAGTTTTCATTTCAAGTGCTTTTGTTATTTTAGCTTTCAACTCTTTTTCTGGCAAACAATCCAAAATCGTAATGAGATCGTCTTCCCTTTTGCTGATAATGGTATCATTTGACTTTTCTTTTGATTTAATTGCAGCTTTCAGATTTGTTATTGATTCAACTAAAGCCAAGTTTTTATACGATTCATTCAATTCGTCGCTAAGATGTTTCAATTTCTGTTCGTTCGCATCAACTTTTGACTTGAAATTTTCTCGTTTCCTATCCATGTCATTTATGTCCATACTTTGTTCATGCTCCTCTTGTTTTCTCTTTGATTTCTCAACTTGAGATTTGAGGTTTAATATTTTAGAGGCACTTCTCTGAATGTCATTTAACTGTTTTTCGGATTGCATTTTGATATTTTTAGCTTGATTTAAGTCATCTGATTCACGTTTTATTGCCTCGTCACATTGAGCAAGATCAAGCATAAACTTATCAATTTTTTCCTGAGCTTCTTTTTCTTCCCTCGAATACCTATTTTTCTCATTTTCCTTTTTTCGTCCTAATTCTCTCAATTTATCGGTCATGAGCGCTTTAAATCTTGACCGATCATCTTGGTCTAATGGAACCTCAAACCCACTTAAATTAAAATCTCTTGCTAGCTGCGAAATAAGATGATCACGGTTAGTACAATCTTTTTCATGTAGGGCCAATTCCGTTTTCAAGTTGTTCAACTCTGATTTTTTCCGGTCAATTTCCTCTGAAAGTCTTTCAATTTTCTTGTTATCGTCGTTCAACTGATTACTTAATTCGTTCACCGTTTTCTTCCGTTTCGCGGAAATGACGTCATGGTTTTCGATCAGGTCGTTCAACTCGTCGTCCGTCCCATCAAACATTCCTCCACAAGATTGCAAACTATTCTTCATTTGTTGGATCGCATGTTTCTTCTCGTCTATTTTGGTCGATAGTGCGTCTCGTTTAGCCGCTATTCTGTTGATTTCTTTGAGTTGTTCTGATATTGCTGCTAATCGGTCTTCACTCACTTGCCTTTGGTCGTCCAAAGTTTCCTTTCTGCAAAAAAAATAACAACAATCTAACCTGGTTGCTTACTCGCTTATCAACGTTCTATTCAGTAATAAGCCATAACTAATTCTAATAGAAGACCATTTATAACGTAGGTACCTCATTCATACTTACTGGATAATTTCCAGGAATATTATCTCAAAATTGCATCAAAGTTTCATTTAGAAAATGAACACCCAAATTACGCTGGTTTAGGGAAGGATCTAGGAATTTCGAGGGAGTACGGACGGAGTTTATTTTAGTTCAACCAAATGGATTTTTTGAATTCTCTCGAAACACTGAAGACTCTAAAACGGCAAAATAAATGCCACATACATTTTAAAGAGACCAAAAATGACTAGTAAGGCACTTCATTAAAAAGATTCGATCAAAATTGCGTTTTTTGGAGCTCGCTTTTCTCAAATTTAGTACAAAATGAACCCAGAGCAAATTTAGAAAAATTCCACGTTCATCGACAAAAAAAGGATCTCTTAAATAGTTCAAAATATGGTCAACAAAAACAGCATCAAAAACAGCAACAAAAAATGAATCGCGTAAAATAGCACCAAAAGCAGAAGACGGGTGACCAGGGGGTCGAGCCCCTGAGGGAGGGGTGGTATGTCTTTCCCTGCTCAGTTCCATTATGGTAACTCAAATAAATCCAAACTTTTAACGCAGAGGCGAAACTGAGTTTCACATCACTTGCGATTCAAAAATTATAGGATTAATGCAGCAAGGCGCTAAAAAATTAGCAAACAGAACTTCGAACTAGGTTACAAATGGCGAAGGAAGAGGAAAAACGAAAAAAACAGAATCATTTTTTCAATATTAATTTATTCAAGTGGCATTGAAATAAGAAATTCAAAAAATTGGTGCCAGAGTTTTATTGATACCAAAAATACTACAGGATATTTCAAGGAAACAAATCGCTAAATAAGCCGACAGAATTGAAGCCGCCATCCAATAAGCTGAAACTCAGCCTAAATTTCGTCAAAAAACAGAAAAAAATTTCAAGTAACGCCCACATCGGATCCACGATAGCTCTATAAGTAGCGTATGCAAAGAAGACTACATAATTTGGAAACTGAAACGACAGAGCTTAAGTCGACTACCATGAAGCCGAAAAAAAACCATCAGTAGAAAAATAAACCATCAGTATCAAAACTCTAAAATTATACATACAATGGTTTCTAGATATAGCATGAGTAGTAACTAGTTAAATTTGAATTTTCATGAAATAGAGCATGTCAGCAGCATAAGAAGTGATTCAACTGGTTTTGTTAAACTAGTCCAATTTGATAAGGCTTGCTAATCGCAAGCGTAATTATATATTAGCTCAAGCTCAATGGGCAAAATAAAAACTCTCCTACGGTAAAACTAAGAAAAGCCAATATACCTGTAACTGATGTCGACCATCTTCTGTTCGCTGTTCTGCTTGAGTGTCTGCAGCTCCTTCCACTTGTTTTTGTTGGCCAGGAGGAATCCCGCCTCCAATTCTGCACTCCTGGCTGTCTCACTGATCACTTTGCGCACCTTCTTTAGCTCATCTATGGCCTTGATGTACCTTTGAAGAAAAATGTTCAACAGAGAGAGAGAGAGAGAGAGAGAGAGAGAGAGAGAGTGAGAGAAAGAGGGAGAGAGAGAGAGAGAGAGGCGAAGCTGAGCTTCGGATCACTTGTGTTACAAAAGTATATGGTGTGAAATAATTTAAAATTTTTTTTTGACTATTTGAAAAACCGTAACTTCGCATTCCGAAATTTTTTTCAAAAGTAAAAAAATAATCAATCTATATTCTATTATTGAGCACCAAATTTGACTAAAAGTTACATAAAAACATTGAAGTCAAGTTAGCACACTTGACAAACTCCACGCACAGTCAATGGAATTGTAGGATCCGTGATCCTAATACTTTATCGGCAAATTGAAAACTCGACTTAGAATTTATTACCTTGGTAATTGCATGCAGCGAATGATTAGTACGCAGCTCGTTATTGACTAATAAATAACTTAAGTAAAGTAAACAAAAGACCAATCTGGAAACTGTTCGAGTTTTCAAAGAATCAGTACCACCTCTGGTAAAAGTTATGGGAAATGTTCTGTACCCGGTCGCAATACCTTTGCTAGTAGCAAAACAAAATAAATTCTGTAGCGTAAAAATTAAACACGTACTTGATTTAAATTTAAGAGCCAATAAGCAAAACCACGGGAAAAAACGAAGCTAAGAGTTGCCAAATTAAAAATGGCTTCCAGATACGAAGTTGATTCAAGTGAAGAATCGCGATGGTTTGAAATGCATTTGCGAATAAACTTTATCACAAATTAAGCTATAAGTTTTTTATTGATAAGAAGACCATTTCAATTGAATGAAAACGCGGTTCTGAATGATTAGAACCATGTACCTTGATGCTGCGAATATTTCGTCAAACTTAGACTTGACACTCTTCCCATCATCCAGGGGCCAGTTGGAGTCCTCCTGGTGGCAGAAGATGACATTATTCAGCACTGCTTTGCTCACCCCCAAACTAACTGTCATTTCTTTATCTATATCTGCACACTTGCTACTCATGCTGCTCTCGATCTGACCAGTGGCACTGTCCAGTCGGCTAATCACGCCTTCGATAGTTTTGAACTCTGCTTTCTTCTGTTTCTGCACTACCTGCATGTTGCGAGTCACCTATCAATCGAGAAAAATCAATAAGCCGACATGCTTTGATATGGATAATTTATACAAAACCCGCTTCATCAAACATTATTTACTTACAATGACCGAATATGGCCAATTTTACAATGCGCGCTGCATTTTGTGCCTTTCAATCAAATTTCATTGACCGGGCTTTCTATACCAAAAAGGAAGGTCAAAAATTGCCGAAAAAAAAGAAGTACCAATTCGGTCAGCACAAAAATTACGAGAAATTGATATGCTGTGGAAAACGTACTGTCGCTGGTTTTCCGGCTACGTCGTTGAACTTGAGTCTCACTTGAGCCTTGGTCTCTGTCTCCCGTGCTATCTTTGGATCGTGTATGAATTGCGCACCCTTTGTTCCAGGAGGCAACTCACCTGACGTGATGTAACTAGAGCAAATGAATAGAAAAGAATCTGAAACAAGTGGAATCTGAAAGGAGTAAACTGGAGTGACCATTTTGCAGATAGGACAGAATAGGAAATAACTCTGAAAAATTTCCATATGGTACATGCGCATTAAAGATTGCGGCTGTTTATGCAGAACAGCGTTGACTATATGATTATATTTACCAAACAAATCAATATAGTTTAATGATTGATTTTTTTATTACACGAAGTCGAAAAAACGGAAAGACAGAAGTTGAAAAAATCCAGGGGAAAACTGTTCTCTTTAGTTAAGGCGAGCTAAAAATCAATTATCAGAGAACAAATTTAAAAGAGTTAAAAGAAATTTTGTTGTTCCGATCAGGGGCAGATGTAGGGTTTTTAAAAAAAAATCGAAATTTTTGTCAGTTGTTTTTTAGATTGACCAAATTGATTTTCTGAGGTCTCCCAAACTTAAAATGAGCCGTTTTGGATTAAAGTTTTGGTCAAGAATTTCACAAAAAAATCAAAAATATTAATTCTGCTGAAATTCTACGCAATTTTTGTCTCCATCATTTTTTGTCTAAAGTCAACATAATTTGAGAAAAATGAGTTTTAAATTTCAAGTTTTTTTTTCGTTTTATCCTGATAATTTAAATCAGCTTTGTAGCAGCAAAGGGAGGACCCTTTGATAAGTCAGTGGGTCGAATCCCAAACTTTGCCTTACTTTGACCTAATTCAATCGCAATAACAATACAATACAATACAAAACAGCCACTAAAACGAAAAAAAAAACGTATCAAAACGGATAAAAAGTATCAAAAACTCACACCAAAACAATAGAAGCTAAAAATAGAATCAGAAGAAAACTTACCAAGCTGTAACCAAGCCGAAAGAGAATTAAGCCGAATAATTCGCTGACCAAAGAGAATTAATCGAAAGAAAAAAAAACATTCTTAATCGAAAAAAAAGCTCGGAAAAAATCTATTTGGTCAACCTAAAAAAAAAAGGTCGTCAAAATTTTCGAAAATTTTTTGAAAATCCGCCCCCCCTCGAGAAAATCCCAGATCCGCCCCTGGTCCTGTGCCTAAAGTTATTTACGGGAAAAAGTCTAGTACCCGATTGCAATACCCTTGAGTAACGTGAAGACTATCCAATTTAATAACACTTGCTAATCGCAACGGTTATAAAGCTACAAAAAAATTGACATCTTAATTACCGGAGACTTTCGATTATCGTGGTCTTTCCGCAACCATTTCTTCCCACAATGATGGTGAGCGGGGAGTCGAACTTGACTTGCTGTCTATCCACCTCTTTGGGCCCGAAAGACCTCACACCTTGCACTGATAATTTGTCAAATGAAGACATTAGATCCACCACATGCAAATTTCAACAATCAATTTTCTGAAAACACATTTCAAAAGATCATCATTTCCGACACTACAGATATGATGTATAACAATTCATGAACAATTTCACGAAAAAAAAACAATCAATTCTTTAAAAGCACATTTTATAAAAACAACACCAATCACAAATTTTGACTTGAAATGTGTCGATAACAATTTTAGCATATCTGCTTAGTTTATTGCAAGAAACGCGAGGAAAACAATTTCATTTGTGAAATCATTAGGTGTGACCTTCACCCTGTCGAACGATTCAGCCACTCTTCCACTTGGCCGAAGAATTATGTTAACGCATTATAAGACAAAACAGCAAATTAAAAAGTGAATTGAAAATCACATTTCAACAAATAATAGCAACAGGGTTTCAACTAGTCACATACGCTGTGCAGTTTCAGATGTTCAAACAGCCAAAACTAAATCAAACATAGCCATCAGACAGCTGCAAAAGAGTCAGTGAACGAAAGTGCAGAAAAAATAATGACTTACTTTTTTGGAAAAATCTCTATTTTCGTAATTCAAAGAAAAAATAGATGCCTTTCAAGCTCATTTAGTTTCTAAAACAATTGAATACTGGAACTTTTATGACGAAAAAAAAGAACCCAATTGAATAAAACTAGATCAAGAGGTAAAATTTTTATTTCGCTTGGAAATCAGAAAAATAAATGCCACTCTCCGAACTAAAAGTCGATCACGTTTTTCGTGACCTTTACATTTTTGTTCGATAGTGGACTTTGCCTTCCAGTCAAACCGCAGAAAAGTAAATCTGAGCCTGGACAAAACCTTTGCGCTATGAGCTGAAAAAAGCTTGTTGTCAAAAATATGTTGAACAATAAACCATTTTGAAAATTCAACCCACAGCGAAACACAAATGCGTAAAAAACCTATTTTGCGTATATTTTATTCTCTTATACACTGCTAAAGGAGACAAATATGCCGATATACGTAAGCCGAAACCTTTCATGACAAACAACCGTTTTAAGCGAAAAAAAAGAAAATAAAACAAGAAATTGACATTTAACAAATCGACACAGAGGCAAAGCTGCACTTCGCAAACACGAGCGATATGACAAAACAGCAGTTGATAAATTAAAATAAGAGAAGGTTAAAAAAATAGTAAAACAAGCGATCTAGTGCAGAATTTTCTGCATTCCAAATGATTACCACTAAACTTTAAATTTTAAACGAGAAAAAAGTGTTTCTTAGTGAAATAAAATTTAAAGTTTGATTTTTTTTGGAAAAAAAGGTTTTAAAAAACACTAAGTTAATTTTTGTAACAATGAAGAAATTTGACGCAAGGATCAAGAAAATTTTTTAAAAGTACGTCCTATGATTGCTTTGGAAAAAACTTGAATAAAACAGGAACAAATAAATGCGAAATTTACCTTTTAAAATTAAAAAAAAAAAGAAATAAAAGAAGAAAAAAAAAGAAATAAAGTGAAATTAAAAATCAGCGCATCGCTTTAAAGACGAACAAGGAAAAAATCAGTGTTTAAAATAAATAATTCACTGCATGGCGGCTTGTTGAAGAAAAAAGTAGCAAAACAGTGGAAAGCCTTTTCTCAAGAAAGGAACAAATGGCTGCCAGCTACCTGAAAAAAAATCACTTCTAAGCTTTTATAAATAAAATCAATAAACAAATTGATGCGGAACCGTTTTCAACCAAACTTGAAACCAAAAACTTTATTTGAAAAAACACTGAATTGGGTTGTACGCATTTTTCAAATTTTTGGTAACAAATAAACCATTCGGAAATTTGTTTTAGGGTTAAATAAGACACAAACCAAGGGAGCTTTTTACAAACTTCGAAAGGCTTTTTAAAAAAATTTATCAAAAAACAACTATTTTAAACCTTTTTTATAAGAAATCAAATCGAAATCAGTTGAGATTTTCTTTGAAAAAAGATTTATAAAACCACCTTATTATTATTAAGATGAAATGTTTTATTCACAAGAGAATAAGAATACAAACCGGAATTAGAAGAAACGTTTTTTTTTAAAAAGATTAAAATCAATTGAAAAGGAAACAGTTGAAGTTTTATTTAGAAAGAAAAAAAAACTAAAAAACGAATTTCTTCTAAGTAATTTCTTTCTTGATTTAAAGGAAAAAGCTCTTTCAAACAAAAACGACACGGTTCAAAATTCTTTTTAAAAACTTGTTTTAAAACAAGAAGCTACGGAAGACTACCATAGCGTGTGATTCATAGACATTTATAACTTTAATTTCAAACACTTTGTACTGAAGGTTACCAATGGCGACCTTTAACATATTTATCCTTTCGTGGTCCTGCACGGCCAAGCAAACATAATTGCTACTGTGTAATCAATTAGTTTCCAGTCAAATCTCCTCTGCCGAAATAAAATTGACCCGAAAACTCGCTATTCGTAGGCCCTCGTAGCCGGTTCATTTAACTTTCTTGAACTTGCTGCTTCTACTAACAGTACCATGTATCTATAGCCACAAACAGAGCAGAATGGAGGCTTTTCAAACAGCGGACAGCCAACTGAACCCATGCAACAGGAAGCAGTGAACAAGTTCAAGAGCTACTTCAACTTCCAAAAAAAACTAAGAATAGTATTAGCAAAAAGTATAGCCCGAAACGGAGTATGGTAACTAAAAAGTATTAAAAGTATGAAAAAATGCTCAAAACAGCCAACTTATAAGTTTTAAAAATATATTAAATGAAATTAAACATTGCAAAGCATCAACTAATTCAAACATGCACGCTGAAATATAAGCAATGCGACTAGGCTCAAAACCTATGCTTGATGAAAATCCGAAGATTAGCAGTAGCTTATTTGCAAAGCATATCTATGTAAATATACACTGTAGCTGAAACCTGTAGAGATAGCGTAAAACTCTTAAACAGGTGAACATTTGGACTTTTTCGACATGGCTGGATAAAACTAGGTGCTACGTATTGGATTCCCGAGAATAGGAGTCTTTCAAACCTGCCCTCTACGCCACGACCGCTTAAATATTGGCGAAAACGAGTTATAGTAAAGCAGCTTCATATGCTGGTAAATTGCCATCCGATGCAGCAAAAGTGGCATCAAATACAAATAAACATATTTTGCAAATATTAGTTTGGAATATAACAAACTGAAGGCATTCACGCTTTGCATGTAATAATCTGGAAAGCAAAAAACTTAATTATGTATAAATAATGCATTTCAAAAAATTGCGAGATAAATCGAGTTTTCATTATTTTTATAATATTTGGAACAAATAGCTTTTTTCGGTTCATTTGATGAATTTAAAATGTATCAACTGGGTTACCTTATTTTTATTCGAATGTCAAAGCACATGCTATCAAAAAGCTGTAAAGGTGCCCCAAACTGTCACCAATATTTGCGACTTCGGTTAGAAAAAGTAGTATAACACTAAATGTCACTAAAGTTCGCAAGTGTAATAATCTGCAATATATTGAGTTGGAACATTTCTTGAGACCAAATTTTTACTCGTTTTTTTGTAACTATTGGAATGCAAACAAATTCTGAAAATGATGTTGAAAAAATTGCTGGCTACAGTTGAAAAAGATGTTGAAAAAACAGTTGAAAAAAGAAGTTCATAAGCAGCCTTAAAAAATCGAAAATTAATAGCCGAGCTCCGAACATATTCAGCCTTAAAATTATGCATTATGAGTTGGCTGAGCCGATATAAAAAACACTGAAAAAATCTATATATGGAAAAAACACGAAAAAAAAAAACAAAATCAGACTTGGTAAACTTTTATTATTATTTATTTACATCAATGATGTACTGTGGTTAGACACAAATAGCTTCTTTCGGTTCAATTTATCATTTAAAAAAGCATCAAGAGTGTTAATTTTTTACTAATCGAATGTCAAAGCACAATCTGCATAGAGGCAAAGCTGAGCTTTGCTTCACTTGCGATTTTAAAAAATGAAACACTGATTAAAATCAGACAGACAGAAAAAAGTAAGTCCCCACTGGAATCGATATTCCGGCCTTTGACGTCAAGCATGGCGGTGTTACAGCAGCTCAGAAGAAAGCTCAGCTTTCAAAAAAAATTGGGTCACGGGAACTAAGTCGATAAACATAACCCGACGAACAATAGTCACAAAAATTACAAAAACTGCCAAAAAACAGGCCCCGACCGGATTCGAATTACAAGCATTTGCTGTCTCAAGCAAATGGGTTACTTCTATCCCAGATGCACCGGATGATTGATTGAATTTATAACTAGCAGACCAGAAAAGAGAGCCATTTAGACCATAAAATGTTTCCAAAGCTTTCAAAAACCGCAACTTGAAAAAATTCAAATGTTTAACTGGAATCATGTTCTTTTTGCGAAAAACACATTCAGAAACACAATCGACGTCGATTCATGAAAACGTAAAAAAAACAAGCAGAAACTAAACCGACATTACTTGAATCATTTCCCATAGAACCGAAAACATAACATTTGTCATGAAAAACTTTGAACTATAATTATATTCTAAGAATTCAAGCTCCTCGGTCGATCTGAAACAAAGAATAAAAATTATGATTCCTTGAAAACGACCCCACATTGGGTCATTAAGCCGATAAAATATAAGCTGAAAGCATTCTTATCGAATAAAATGTTTCCGCGAAAAAAAAACAGCAAAATATACGAAGTCAAGACTAGTAAAATTAGTATTGACAGGAGTAATTCACAACAAAAGTAACTGCACTGAAAATTGCGTATTAAAAATAACAATTTAAAGATGTGGTAACTAAGCAGACAAAACATAAGCAGACAAACAATAGGCCGACGGTTTTTGATAAAAAATATTTCCCGTTTGAAAAAAAAATTCCTGGTCAGTTCAAAACTAACAAACTTTGCCGTCCTAGGCGTATTTTTCACTTCCATGCTACGTGCTGGAGACGCACGAAAAATTTATTATGAACCAAAATACAAGTGATTCTGTTAAACAAGTTGGAACCAATATTCGCGAATTAGGGTAGAAAAAAGAATAGCCGTACTATTACAGTACGCTCGCTTAAGCGCACAGGTATAAAAACATGAAAAACAATCCTCGAATAGAACGGGTATTTAAAATGCAAACCTGCTCAAAAAATGGCTATTTGTCATCATAAGACGAAACAGATGTGACGAAATATTTGACGAAAGAATTCAGAGATTCTGTTAGACAAGTTGTTAACCAAATAAAAAAATGTTTGTTCCGCTCTGATAACGCTTGCTATTCGCTAGGGTAATGATACCTTTGATTCCTCCAAAATTTCCTCAATTTATTTTAAACTGGCCGGAAAAATCCACCCTAAACCAGTTCCTTCCTACTTAGTTAAGCCGTCGGAACAAGAAGTACGATTGTGTCTTTGTAATATTATTAATGTGGTCTTCGTCAAAATTCATTGATTGTAATCCGAACTCGGATCTTTTGATTGTTAGAAAGCCAGCCACTATTTGGGTCCATAAGAACACCCCATTCGATGAAATCGGCAAAACCCCAGTCTTTTTCTTTCTCGTTCATTTCCTTATTGCACCTCTGAGATTGGTTTTTACCCTCGACTGCATTCAGCAAGGTAACTTCAAACTCCAATTCAAATCTCCACGTTATTAGGTTTTTGTCTATAGGAGCAGCATCAAGAAAAACTCCAAGGAACGGTTTATTATCCTTATCGAGTTTGTGTTGAAGCACAGCTTTCAGATCAAACTTGTACAACCGATGGCTATTTGAATATCGTTTTCGATCTTTGATATCCATTATATCGCCAAATTCTGCTTCAAAACTAAAGGGTTTGACTTTGGCCTTCAAATTTATTAGGCAATTATTGGACAGTAGTGAATTTAAGTCCTCGTCTACAACAACGTCGACTTCGCCTTTCCCGAGAGTTTGAATCTTGTCTTCGGAGGCTGACATCAGATCAAATGTTTCCTTGTCTTTTTCTAGTTGGACAATTTGCTCATGAGCCTCGGCAATCTTTTTTTCACATTCCAACGACATCAAACCAGCATATTTGATTGACAGGGCCATTTTTCCAGCTCGTTCACGAATCCATAGCTTGATGCTCTTGAAAGTATGATTGATATGTTTGTCTTCGATACAATCGACACAAATTTGAAGGCTACAATCGTTACACCAAAGGGTTATTTTGTTTTCACAGTGAGCATCACATTTCGGCCAGCTACTTTTGTAGCGAGGGGTCTCCGACGTTTTTGCAGATAGGTCGACTAGAGCATCCCTGATTCCATACAGCGGTTTCAACTCATCTAGATTCATTTCCTTGAACTCAGTGCTGCATACGGCACATTTACTAGTGTTTACTTCGATGCAACTTTTGGGTGGCCCGCAATAAGAGTGACCGCAGGGAAGCACACGAGGGTCTTCAAGAACATCAGTACAAATCGGACAATCGAGAGTTGTTGATGATGCCATCAATTACACAAAAACAACTCAAAACATCTAAAAACTATCTTTCAGCATGCAAGAAATATCTCAGAATAACTTGATACACAAGAGTTGAAGCAGAGCTTCGCACCACTTGCGATACAAGACAAAATGGCCGCTACGTTGAAAAAAAAATTAAAAGAAGGTAAAAAAAAACTCGATCTATCAGAAAATAAGGCTAGTTTTCAAATAAAAAAAACATTCCAAGAAAATGGAGAGTGAAATAAGCATCGTAAGAAAATTTACAAACGGTAACAAAGCCGAAAAACAAAAAACCTTGGCAGAAGCCCATGAAGAACAAAAAAAAACCATCACGTTAAAAAGACCCCTTCACCCTCAAAACACAGACATGCACATACAAATTTCTTTCGCTCGTCGAAAGAAACGATATGGCCATTAAATAGATATAACATAGTCCAAAAATCAAGTCGAAAGAAAAGGAAAATAAAAAAAGGGAAAAAAATGAAAAAAAAACGTTGTCATGAAAAACTTGAACTAGAACTTCTATTAAGATTTTTATCATTTTGTAAGATCCAGAGGTGAGTATACAATTTTGAGGTAAGGCAAGATTTAGGTTGATTCATCTGAAATGAAACAAATGTATACGGGCGAACTTATTTCTATGTAAAGTGAGGGTTGTTTTGGTAGTAGATTTTAAGCTTTGACAGTCCTAACGTTCATCGACCTAAGCAAACTACGAGTTGGCAACGACTGATTGAAGTACCAAAGCTAAGAGAAAATGTCTCTGACCCTCGAGCAAATGGTTAAATATTTAAAGAGTATTTTGCTCAACCTCACATGTGACGTGAGTGAACGACTGTTACCTAGTGTTTTTTATCGCTCCTGGGTGTTTTTACGACACGATGACCACGAGTTGTAACTCAATTTCAACTAGAACCTTCTTGTCGTACCGTTTCCACCTTCTGGTCGTACCGTGATATCCTTTTTAAAAAATGCACAAAAGTTTTTTTTGGGTCCGATTTTGAATACGAGGTCTAGCTAACCAATTTTGGAGAGCTTACAAAAAAATGAAAGGCTTAAGACTCAGAAACTGTAAAAACGTTAAAAAACGAATTACAGTATCGTTTGATGTCAGACTGGTTGGATCGAACGCTCCGATTAAACTAAACTTTCTGAAGTTTGTATTCACCTGATTGTTTCAATCATGGTAATCAAATTATTCGGGTGCCCGATTTAAGTATCTTTGTTGGATCTTCAGATAGCCTTGGAGTTCAAATAACAACTGGGAAGTTTGACTGAGGATGCTGCCAACTTGGTAGTATTAGGAGTTTAATAGATATGGACACATTGAGAATTCAACAAACTACTGAGTGCATCGCAAGAAGACAGGTATTGTTAATTGCGTACTTTTTGCAAAGGACGATAAGTGTAAAAAAAAGACAAGTAATGATTCCCGCCACACTTTTGTCATGAGCAAAAATTTTTGAGCAGGGCTTGGAAACAAGTGCAACGGGGTTTCTTTTGAAGGGCATTTTAGCCATCGCGTCTAAGAAAGTTTCTAATTGAGCAGAAATTCTGGCTTCATACTATCAAACGGTATCATCTTTTTAATCGTCGAAAACAGAAGTAAAAGCGCCAGAGATCATCGGAGAACAAACTAATATAGCTTGAGCGAAGAGGATTGGTTGTTCGCATAGGATTTTAAGCTTTATAATTTTTTATAATTCTTTATGATATCTTTTTTATATCCACAACAACCCCACGACACTCGCGTTCCAAAAAAATAAACAAAAACTTCAATTTTATGTAGACGGTCTTCCTCCCCGTATTTTAGTTTCACAAATTTACTTTCTTAACTTATTAACATACCAACCGACTGAAAAAGATCGCTACCAGAGAGCAATCACTACCAGATAGCAAATTTAAAAAAAGATATAACTTGAGTCTTTTGAATTTCAAATAATCGCCCAACATCTTTTACTTGAGACTTGGAAAGTTCAAACAAATGCCCAAAATTATTTTTCTTGAGTCTTGCGATGTTCAAGCAACTGCCCAAGGGGTTTTGCTCCTAAGAATTTCAACGCTCCCCATCGTTTTGGTCCTAGGAAGTTCAAACAACTGCAAAAAAAATTTTACCTTGAAACTTGGGAAGTTCAAACAAATGCCAAAGGTAAAATTTTTAGCCTTGATATTATCAATCAACTGCCAAAGGTATTTTTCTTGAGCCTATGGAATTTGAAACAACTGCCGAAAAATTTTGGTTTCAAATACTTACCAAAATTTTTTACCTGGAGACTTGGGAAGTTCGAAAAAGTTTGGGAGGTTTGATCGACGTAATTAACGATCCTGTTAATATTATTCTAACAGAGAACCAACCAATCGATACATTTCTTCTAAAAAACAGTTCAAGCAGAGATTTAGGTTGTAGATAGATCAACATGTAGATCAAACTTAAAAAACTGTACAGAAAGGACAACTTAAACTAGGGGAAAATAAAAAACGAAAGGGGAGTAAGTAGAGCATTAAAGAGAAGTTTGAAGATAGCGTTTCGGGTAAACAAATAAAAACAGAATATTCTTTTTAATTGAGATGAGCAAGTTGGTTTAAAAGCAAAACCGTCCCTTGAGACAGTCAGAGACTTTACCGCCATCTATATACCATAACTCAGAATAAAAAAAATTTCAGTAAACATGAAGACTCGAGGATTATCACCGGTTGGCAATGATACTGGCAAAAACAGGAATGCTACTGAGACAATCAAAGATGACTCCCAATTAGGAAATCATCATTTTTAGAAAGCAAAATTAACGACAATGGTCGGCATGAGATCTAAAGAAAAAGAATGAGCGACGGCAAAATTGTATAACGAAAAAATTTTTGATGTCGACAAAAACGACAGACCGGAAACAACGGCACCGGAAACTGAGAACACAAGAGAAAAATAGAATCAAGACGCTAGAAATGTCACAACTGCCGAACCTTCCGGACATCATAGGACGAAAATTTGACGGGCTTGATGGGTTAGATAGATCTGATAGAAGAAAGTCCAGTATGGCGAAGAGGATAGAGAAGAGTTGAAGAGGGAGATAAGGCACAACAACAACAAAAAAAATTGATAATTATTCTATTGCGGCAAAAACGCCAGAGGATAAAATTTCACAGCTGGGAAACATAGAAGAGACTGACAAAGAGAGAGAGAGAGAGAGAGAGAGAAGAATATAAAAAGAAAGACATGGGGATGATGAGAAAATTGCTTAAAAAATGAACAATCAACTATGAGAGTCTAGAGCCTTGAATGACTACCCTGAACAGAGATCAAGCTGGAAGCTTTTTTCCCTATAAAAATGAAACCAGATGCACTACTCAAGAACTCGAATATTTTAAGCTGAGAGCAATTCTGAAAGTAAGAGGAATACCATCTTACCGAATTCAAGTTGCTCGTCGTCGTCGTCGTAGGGCGTTTTCGAGCATTACTGCCCATTGCCCGCCATATGTATATCTCTCACAATTGCTTTCCACTGCGGCCTGTTCAGTGCAGTATCTTTGGCCAAATCGAACCAGCTTGCCTCCCAGTTCTTGTGGGTCATTTTTTGGGGTTTCAAGAATGGGCGGAGTTCCTTCTTCACTAACCGTCTCCACGAGTTCTTTACTCCACCGGGGGGTCTCTTCCAGTTGTCGGCTTTCTCAAATTCCAGGCATGCGTTGGGTATCATGTTGGGTTCCATGCGTAGGGTGTGCCCTAGCCATTTGAGGCGTCTTAGTTGTACGGTGGAACTCATGGTGTCTGTCGGAGCACCAAGGTTTCTCATGCATCTGCAGTTGAAGGAGTCGAGGCGTTGAGTATCGGATGCCTTGACTGGCCAGGATTCACATCCATACAGGAGCACGCTTTCGACACATGCTTTGTATACTTTCGATTTGATTCTGGTCGGGACTGATCTTTGTTTCCAGAGCTTGTCTAATTGTTTGAAGCGTCCTGTTGCTTTTCCGAGGCGGATCTGGATTTCGTGTGACACGTCACCATCGAATTGCAGGTTGCTGCCTAGATAGGTGAAAGTATTCACCCTATCGATGGGGGGCGTCATTGCAGGTCATTTGGTCTCCAGGATAAGCAGAGCAGAATTTCGTTTTAGATGTGTTTATTTCAAGACCGCCTTTTGCAGCGGCGCGAGTGACTAGATCAAGAAGTGTCTGTGCAACTTTGATATTGTCTTCAAGTAAACAGATATCATCAGCGAAGTCTAGATCTGTAATTACCATATCGTCAAGGGCGATGCCAAGGGGTTGGTTTTCCGTTGCTTCGAGCAATGCCCAGTCGATTACAAGGTTGAACAAGAATGGTGCAAGTATCGAACCTTGTCTGACCCCTGAGACAATGGCAAATGGGTTAGATAGTGAGTTGTAAACCCTGACTGTACTAAACGTTTCTGTGTACATGGCTCTTAGGATTTGGAGGATTTTGGATGGGAGGCCGTGACTCTCGAGGATGCACCAGATTGTCTCGCGGTTGACGCTGTCAAACGCAGCTTTAAAGTCAATAAATACGAGAACAGTCTGTCTATTGTATTCGTGTCTTTGTTCTACTATTTGTCTGATTGCAAATATTTGATCGCGAAATCCGCGCTTCTTTTTGAAGCCAGCCTGGTTGTCTCTAGCAACTGTATCATAGGCTGGTTCGAGCCTGTTTTTAAGGATCGCCTCTAAGATCTTGAAAGCGATATTCAAGAGTGAGATGCCACGATAGTTTGAGCATTTGGCTTTGTCGTCTTTTTTGTGGGTGGGGACTATGACTGCTGTCTTCCAGTCATTTGGAATCTTCTCCTCTTTCCAAATAAGTGAGAGAAGGCGTTGCAAGTGGGGAAGAAGTTCATGTTGGCCATGAATAAAAAGTTCCGGGGGGATATTATCATTTCCTGCTGCTTTGTTTGTCTTCAATTTTCTTATTGCGAGCGAGATTTCGTCCAAACTGGGTGTATCAGTGTTGATTTGTGAGAGGGCTTGGCTGCGAATTTGAGGGGTCGCTAGATTTTTTGTTGGCCGGTTTAGTAGTTGTTCGAAATGGTTGGCCCATTGTTTAATTTTGTCATATGGGGCATCGTAATAACACTATGTAACTCATTCACTCAAATCACATATGATTTTCAAGA